CCTACCCCAAGTTCCTGGCATCAACTCTTATTTTTCCTTTCAAGCCAAATGCAAAAGGGACTTAACCTCAACAGACAAAGATTGCGGAAGAATGTGTATGCGTTGAAAAGTAATCCAGTAAATTGACAAAGCTAATGAATTCTCAGAGGGATTCATTCAATATCACCCAGTGAGAGTCAGCACTTGGAATATTTCCACAAAGGCAATAAGAGAAGGGGAATTTGTTTATTACCTTTGGTTCCTGAAAGAAAACATTGTCCCATACACAGCTTCCATGTCTATTGTTGATTTGCTTAAGCATTTGGAAACATTGAGATTCTTCATTTATAAGTTCATTTACTCATTAACTACTTATAACTACTTATAGTTTTTTCACTGATTACTATGTGAGAGGCACCCTCTGTGTGAGATTGTTAGTGGAGAGGTTACAGTAATGTACGTTCTACTGTAGTCTCAGAGTGTGGGCAGTGGAAGGACCCTTTTTTCTTTTTTCTCCTTATTCCTGCCTCCTTTAGAAGACAATTCCTTTCAGCCCTTCCACTTCTCTCTCCACTTTTTTCTGGGAGATGAGATCTGTCTGATTGGCAAGATTATAAGAAACTTCCATTCATAAGACAGTGTTGCTAAGGGACACTGTCACTGTTAATTAGAAGCAAGAAAACTTGGCATGCATTTGCTTTTATTTAATCCATTTGGAATTTATTTTTGTATGTAGCAGAGACAGGAATTTCATCTTGTTTTTCCCAATTACGTAGTCGTTTATTAAAGAATTAGTTTTGGAAATGCTATTATGATAAACTAAACTTCCATTTATTTACAGGTCTGTTTCTGAAAACTGTTCTATCACCATACATTAACTATAGTTGTCCATTTCCTTTTCTAATTAAAACCTAGAATTGGTATTTGAAAGTAAACATCTTCCTAGTGGGTTTTTTTTTTTTTTTTAAATTGACACGAGTTGAGTTTGAGAGAGAACTGACTTCTTTTCAATATTAACTCTTTCCATGAATGGAAAAGAGTGAACTATACTAAATTCCAAGAATTTGTATTATTTGTATTATTATTTGTGGCAAATTCTTGGAATGTAGTATAGTTCTCCATTTATTAAGAATATTTCATTGAAGTTTTATAATTGTCTTTCCATAAGTTTTGCACATTTTTTGTTAGGTTTATTTATAGTTAATTTCTGGTTAATTTATACACACACATACACACATACACACATATAATTTTTTCTATTATGAATGAATAACTTTTTCTTGTTTCCTAACTGATCATTAATAGTGTTTACCATGTACCTGGCCAACTCTTTTATTAGTTCTAAGAATTTTTAAGTTGATTCCATGGAATTTTTAGGTAGTAAATTATATTTACTTCAAATAATCAGTTTTTTTCTTCCTGATAATTATAATTACGTTTTCATTTTGTTTGTTTTATTGCACTGGCTAGGACCAAAGGTAGACAATAATAGTGATGGTTGAAATCTTTTTCCTTTTTATTTTCTTTTTTATTTTTTGAGACGAGTCTCGCTCTGTCACCCAGGCTGGAGTGCAGTGGTGCGATCTCGGCTCACTGCAACCTCCGCCTCCTGGGTTCACGCCATTCTCCTGCTTCAGCCTCCCGAGTAGCTGGGACTACAGGCGCCCGCCACTGTGCCCGGCTAATTTTTTGTATTTTTAGTAGAGACGGGGTTTCACTGTGGTCTCGATCTCCTGACCTTGTGATCCGCCTGCCTTGGCCTCCCAAAGTGCTGGGATTACAGGCATGAGCCACCACGCCCGGCCTTCTTTTTTACTTTAAAGGTAATATTTTAAAATATTTTATGTTAAGTACATTTCCTGTAGGTTCGTGTAGATACATTCTATCAGGTTAATGATGTTGCTTTTTTCCTCCCCATTCCTAAATTGCTAAGGAAGTTAAATTTTTTTTAAAAAATTAATCACACTGAGACATAGTGATAGGATCACTTTTTGTTTTTACTAATGGTCCAAGATTAAGTAGAGATAATTCTCTTTTAAGGAGCTCATAAAAGCAAATATTAAAGGAGCTTATAAAAACGCTGATTTAAACATTAGAATGCACTGAAAACCAACAGTCACAGAAGTAACATGTAGAGTGGCCAGGGTCTGCTGGGAGTGAGTATTTGTTGAGGTAGCTTTCATGGGGCAAGTGAAAGTGTCTGACAAGTATAGGAGGTGGAATCAAAATCTCCTGGAGCTCTGTAGTCTTATTTCTTGCAGTGATTACATCACCGGGGTCAGATATAACACAGGCACTGACAATGGCCAGAAATGCTCATAACACCCAATTCTGCCCAGAGTGGGGAAGGCAATCTAGTGTATGGTATCAGAAAGGATTATCTGTGGCAAATGCTTAGAATGCCCATTTGATTGAAGTAGGAAAAAGAATTTCTCTTCCTGGAGAGATGACTGAGACCCACATTACTCCCCTTAGGGATAGATTTATTCACCTGAGGTTTGAGACCCACCATCTTGGCCACCATTTAGAAGGAGAGGAATTGAACAGTCCACCCCAGCCTGGAGAAGCCCCTTCGTGCAATGTCAGATGAATGTGGATGCTTCTGCTCATCTTATTTATGAACCACACTTTAGGTTTGCATGGAATATCTCCACAGGAGCTTGGCTGGAAATGCAGATTATCATTAATTCCACACCAGTCTTTTACATTTACAGGTGTCCTGTTGTAAATAATGTTAAGAGTAAAACTAAGCAAAAAGACATGGGCTCTGTATCCTGCAAAGTTGGGGTGGGATTCACAGGGAAGCGAATGTCACAGTGCTTGTATTTTAAAAAAATGTGAAGTTAGGGGCTCTATAGGGTTTCCTGGCTACTCTTGGGGGCGCACATTTTTGGAAGGGACTAATCATAGGTGCTTGACAGTTCTCTTGTCTTACAACATCTGTTTCAGAAGAAAGTGAAATGTTTTCCACACCAGCCCTAACAACCAGCAATTTTTGTACTTTAAAAATCCTTTGCAAGAATGTAAACTACTTAACTACCCAAAGGAAAGTATATTTTATGCGTTGCTTCTATTTTAATGTTTACAAGGAAGTCCCAACTAAAGATGCTGGCTAAAGTTCTGAATGTGCACAATTAACTGAGTATCTTTTAACAGATCCTTGCTTTCAGCTCTCAAGTGACTCAGAGAAAATTGTGTTAACTCAGTGACTGCTTTATAAGTACACTGAGAAATGGCACTTATAACCAAGTAAAGGAGAGGCATACTTTCAAACTCCAAAACCTAAAATATCCCAACTTAAGTAGAGAAGGAAGAATCTTTATAATTTAGTGACTACTTGAATTTTGAGGAAAAAAAGGGAAAGGAATAGAAGATTACAGAAGTGGAATCATAAGGCTTCTAATTTGTTTAGATATGATAACCTGGGATGGGGTGTGGTGATTCCAAACAACACAATACAATTGTAGTCCAGCATAAAAATTACAATACAATTGTAAAGAGAATAAAAATCATGTTTGGCATATGCCAACTCTATACCCTTATACCAAATACATAGTAACTGTTAAGTGATACCTTGTTTATAATGTATTTAGATGGACAAAGTATTATTCTGATTGTTTTATATCTAAGTGATACTCCACAAAACAGATTTATCTGAAGACAGATTAGTGAACAATGGTGGATCTCAAATCATGTTCACATTTAGCACCTGATAAATGATCTTAATTCCTGCTATTAATGGTTCCTTTGTTCAACTTAATGCATTGGAGCATTACTCAGGGTATTTCAAGCAATTTCAGGAGAAAGTTGATGGATCATGCAAACAATATGTAGGATTTTAACATTCTTTATACCATACAGAAAACTTTTTTCACATTTCTAGTACTTTTCTAGTTTTATTTGTTACACGTAAATTCAGTTAGAATTTATTTTGGTGTAAGGAGTGAGGTGAAGCTCCAGCTTTTCTTTTTTCTTTTCAAATTTCTAACCTATTATCTCAAAACCATTTACTATCAGGAGCCTGAGGCAGGAGGATCACTTGAGGCGAGGAGTTTGGGATGAGCTTGGGCAACACAGTGAGACCCTATCTCTTTAAAAACAAAAACAACCCCCCCGCCCCCACCCCCCCACATTAGCCAGGTGTGGTGGCATATGCCCATAGTCCCAGCTGCTTGGGAAGGTGAAGTGGCAGAATTGCTCGAACCCAGGAGTTTGAGGCTGCAATGAGCCACGACTGCGTCACTACACTCCAGCCTGGGTGACAGAGTAAGATCCAGTCTCCAAAAAACCCCCAAAACACACTTATTAAAGATATAATTTTAAAATGTGTACGTGCCCAAACCTATTAAAAAGCAAATACTAGTGAAAACTTAGAAAAAACCTGTGGCATGACTTTCTGTTTGTGGATGGTTTTATTCCAATTAAGATGTAGTCAAGGCTTAATGAGATCTTACAAAGAAATAAATTCAGGAACTAGAAGGAGATGCTCTTCTACCCACAAAATATTTAAATGGAGGAGCTGAATTAAAACTGCTGGGAGGGATAAAGTGAGTTGTATCAGAAATGCAGAAGCAATACGAAGATTTTGAGATGTACATAGAAGGGTATTGATTGCAGCACTGTCCACAACACTGTCTGGTTCTTGGGTTGCTGCAAATCTCTGGACTCCTTGTAAAATCAATCCTAGTTGCCTTTCTGCTATCTTAGCCAAACACAATCCTGAGGCACTATATTTTTCCTGTATGTTCTCTGTTTTCACTTTTTATTTATTTTCTCTTAGCGTGGATTACATTTTTAATTTGAAATTTGTTATGAGAAATAAAAAAATTTTGAATGTCTGACAGCTAAGGAAGAAATGACAGTAATCCAGACAGTAGAGAAATTAGTGGAAGGCATGAAATCATTTGAGAAATGTACTTTAATGTATAGCACAGCAACCACTGTGTTATGATCAGGATATTGAGGACTTGAATACATTGCACTTTATTTTTATAACAAACAGACAAATAACCAGAAAGAAGAGTTGATTTAAGAAATTTATTATTTTTTTTAAAAAAGCAACTTCCAGGGTTGTCATTGTACAGGTTTCGCCCAGTCTCCTATAGCATGGTATAGTGATAACTGATTTTTTATAATAAGGACTCAGAGGCATTGAAGATCCATAACTATCTTCTGAATTATCACAGAAAGAAGAAAGAGTTAGAAGAGTTTAATGTTAAGTGTATTAAAAATCATATTCTAATTCTTTTAATTTGGTTATCTGAGTATGATAATACAGGAGAGCTCAGATAACAAGAAAAGGCAATTGGTTAGAACACTCCATTCCCACAGGATGTGCATTAACAGACTTTTTACTGCATATATCTTTATATAGTTTGCAAACTAATTCAACCCATTTTACACAGCATTAATTTTTTTCACTGAATTGACACTGGGCTGAAACATTTGCTTATCATCTTATAATTATTTTTTTCTAGTTCTTTAATGGATTTTACTCCCATCTGACATAGTGTTTGGACTTTAGTGTATGTGACACTTCAAGATCATCTCTGCCCATTCTAATGATAGCTACAATGAGGTTACCCATGGCCAGATATCCAAGACTATTAATTAATCCACCAGCTCTGTTCTTAACTTTGGTAAAAGAGAGATCTTGTGTCTCACTGGAGGGTGCACCAAGCTTCAGGCAAGAAACTGTGAGCTGACTGTCAACAGACTATGGTCCTTATCAAGGTTCTTATTAATGCTGTGCAAACAAGGGTCTCGTCATTTCGGTAACTATTTGTACATTTATAAAAGCAATACAGTCATGGGAAAAACCAACAAGCACAGCTTGGTAGAATAACCTGCCATGAAATATCATCGGCTTTATAATAATTTACTACAACTGTTCTTTTTATTCACACTGGATAGGAAATGCTTCCATCTAACACATGGAATACGAATATATACAACACAAATTTGGCTTTAATAAAAAAAAACTGTTCAAAAGGACAATAACACGGGGGCTGAAAACAATAATTTTGTGCAGTTTCCTGATCATAATCACGTCTCCTTTTACAGGGAATGACACAAGTATTGATGGATTTTGTAAACCAGTTAAAACATTCTCCTGCCTGTAATAGCCCACTATGAAGATATCACCTTGTTCATACAGTCTATAGAAGTTTCTCCTTCTTAACTGTAATTCTAAATAACCCGGGATGACACACTGAGTCGGTTTTAAGAACAAATCCTGCGGAGCCTTTTCAAAATCATCATACATTTGCAGTTCCCTATTCCATCAAATGCTTTGCCAAAACATCTTGTAACTGCACTGGGCATATGACTGATGTGCTGAATGGTGCATTTGCACTGATGCTCACCATCTCGTTGCTCAGCAACGTCAGCATCTTGGCTTGAACTTCTGAATGGCCACGGGAATCACGCGGCAGTGCCATGGGGTGGGTGGACTGTTTTAGACTGCCAGCAGTCAAAACAGTTGTGATGGGCTCAACGTCTCTACACTGTGAGCCTGGGGAACCCATTCTCCTGCGGAATGGTTTTCAGGGGCCCAGCAATGTCACTGCAGGTGGCTGAGATATTCTGGCCCCTGCTTATGAGGAACTACATGAAAGAAGAAGCCTAGTGCTCTAAAAAAAATAGACAATGCGGCAGGGTTGGGGAGAGGCTGGGGGGTTGCTTTCATGAGTCTGGAAATCTCTGGTTTTAGCTCTCTGAGAAGGCTGGGAGACTCTGTTGTAGGCAGCTGTGGGAGAAGGCTAGGGTTGGAGGTACACTTGGAGATGCGTTAGTTTGGCGTTGGCACTGCAGATTCAGCGCCCGTGGTCCCTGACTAAGGCACTCTGCCTAGATCTATTTTCCCCGACTGTACCTTTTATGCTCCCTGGCTTTCCCATTCTCCCTGGAAACTCCTGTTTGTTTTTGCTTTCTAAGATACAGATAGCAAGTAGGGTTCATTTCTCTCATCTGACTGTTGGGTTCACCTGACTGTTCAGTGGCAGCTCTTTGGAGTTGTAATTTGAGAAGGATTGTGAAGAAATCAGTGGGCTTAATAGGAAGTAGTTCTGTAATTGATTAGCAATGTCTGCCATGGCCACAAAAATTGGTATTGATAAAATAAATGCATCCCAGGCCCTTATATCTCTTTTCTAAGTAAAGTGAGCAAATGAAGCTGGCTTGATATATTCTTGAAGGATCTTTGGAGACCATAGCCCAAGCCATTAAATTGATATTTATTTTATATTCTGCTTTGTTCCAGAAAAGATTTGAGAATTTGGGGGGCTTGGGACAGGAAGTTTAGGACTTGTGGAGGGAGATAATTTTGAACAGGCTGATGCAGGAGGCCCACGACAAGGAGCTCTGTTTTTACCCCTGGGTGATGAAGCCCAGTGTTTACCAAGTGATTATAGGGCTTACTGATTAAACAGATCCAGAAAGACCTGGAGAAATGGGGCGAGTCCCAGGCATGGTGGATTTTTCAGGCAGAGCACTTCTGTGTTGCAGATCTGATGTATTTCCCCTTGGTTAACAGCTGATGTTCTATGTTGAAAAGCCAAAGAGAAATATATTTGTATACACACACATCCCTTATGGGGGTTAATCAAAGATCCTTATTATGTCAGGACCATAGTCTCTCAGCTCTACCCAGAAGTCTCTGGTGCTAGCTTTACCAAGAAAAAAAAAAAAAGAAACTAGTGATATTGTGTGATAGGTCCTAATGATGGTATTTTGGGAAGATCAACTCATGTTTATCTCTGGAAAACAGGATAAACTTCATACCTCAAGTGATTTAAACTGAAGTCAAATCTTGATTTTTCACATGAATCATTAACAGGTTGCTCTTCGACAACGCCATTGTCTGTTGATTTAGGGACCATGTCTGGCCAAAGCCAGCCACCTCTAGCTGCTGATGGCCTGTGGATTTTAGAAACTGGCTGATGCTCCCATCAATACGCCCCTGTCAATTGCACACAACTGATTTCACTTACACATCAACATAGCAACATACCTTTTCCATCAGTAAACACCTGCTCCCTTTCTCACTTGGAAACGAAGAATTTGCAAGGAAAAGATGGCATATATTTGTATATACCTGCAAACCCCAGGAGAACATCCTTTTGCATACCTGTCTGATGTTGAGTTCCTTACCACACCAGGGACCCCAGTATTTCCAAAGTTGTAGGCAAAGATTTCCTCTTTCCTGGGTGGTGCACAGGGGTGAGGGTCCTTCGGCTCCTAGGCCAAGGGCCCAAAGTCCAGGGATGGAGGTGGAGTACAGGCAGGAGGGCAGCATTTTAGAAACCCAGCAATGTATTTCTTATCCAACTCTGTGTTTCACCCTCAGATAAATGATTTTCTTACTGGTCTCCATGAGACATAATCCTGTTGAGAGCATCTTGCAGTTTCGCTGTCTCTGGAACCTTCTAGAGGTGATAGATGGCTGGCTATAAATGTGACTGTAGTTGCCTCATCATTTGTTTTCTGGCAATTTAAAATATCTGTTTCTTTCCGTGGATCGTGATTGTTGGTATACTGGCATTGCCAACCAATTTTTAGCAATGTGTGAAGATCAGTGGGCTTTATCACCACTCCTCTTCTCTAACTGGAAAGACTTGTTCTAACACCTCCTGAAGTTTCTGAGAGAGCCCAGAGCAGGAACTTTGGGCTCTAGACAGAAGGTCTTGGAGGAGGGCGGGAGGGAGGAGGTGCCCTGTTGGGAGGTGGAGCCTGGGGAGGAGGGGGAAGGGTGGAAGGTGGGGACGGGATGGGAGGGGTGGGGGCGCTGGGGGGCGGGGGAGGGCAGTGGGGCGCAGGAGGTGGGGGGGTGTAGATGGGGGCAGGAGGTGGCGAGGAGGTGTGGTAGGCGTTGTTGAGCGGGTACTTGGCCGGCTGGTTGTTCTTGACCCTGGTGAAGTTGATGCAGCGCCCCTAGAAGAGAACCGGAGAGAAGGAAGCATGAGCGGATGGCCTCACATCAGGGCCTGTGGTGCTGCGGTGCGCGGCTTGCAAGGAATATGTGGAAAGCAGGCCCCTGTTGGTGACAACTCTCCAGTGGCACATAGTAGAACTTGAGGACAAGTGAGCTCCCCGCTTTCTTTTCCTGGACTGTGTTGCAAAATTTATCTTCTCCTGGAGTCTAACTCTCTCAAGTGGGAGAAAGGGAAGGAGACTGAACTTAATTGGGTGCTGTGTACAGAGGTCGTCAAACTGAATCTCCTCAACAGCCCTGCTAACTGGGTATTATTAACTGTTCCATTGCACAGATGAGGAAACAGGTTCAGAAAAGCGAGGTTACTTTTTCAAGGCCACACAACTAGGAAGAGGTGGGGATTGGTGATTCTAACCCAAAATAGACTCCAGAATTATCCTTCCTGCTGCTACTTTGCCTTCTGGAAGGGGTCCTCATATTGCACAAACAAAAGTCATTTATTCTGATTCATTTCAATTACATGCCTGGAAACGGCAGAAGGTTAACACCACGAGCTTCTCCTATATTGTAATTCAAGGATGTAGCTAGAATCTGTGATTGGAGTTGTCGTGGAGCCCCTGATGCATTTACCTCGCCTGTGGCCCCTCAAGCGCTTGTTCCGGGTAATGAATGAAGGAGGCAGCTATCTCTACTGATGTGACCAAAACAGCTTCCCCATCCATGCCTTGCCTTCTGCAATGTGCTAGTAAATAATAAACAGTTTATCCTGCCCTTGTTCTGGCTGTGGGAATCCCTCTTCTACATGCAGCTGCACCTGTGCAGGTAACCTGAGTTGTCGTGGTCACAGGAACTGACAACCTGTGTACCTTAAGAAATACAACCTGGGGACATTCTATTGCCAAGCAGGCATCTACCCTGAATTCTGCTTTTCCCCTACCCTTCTTGGGTACTCAACTGAACAATGCAGAGAAGACCCTGGAACCCCTTACAGCAGCATCCTGAAAGTCAGCGTCCAAAGCCAGCCTTAAGTAGCCCTGTCTCCCCCCTAGTGTGTCTGCTCTGCTCTCCAGAGGCACAGGCGTGCTTTCTCTGTCCCCGACTAGATACCCTCTAGTCTCATCTGGCACTCAGGAGCTTCCGTGCAACACTCAGCTCTGCAATGGAGGGGAGACGGGTCCTCCTGCTCACCACATTCTGTGCTGGTGTGAGCTCACTTGGCCACTTGCCTGGGTGTGCACCCGCCCTCCTGAGGGCTCCTGGCCTCCCTCACTTCCCATGCCTGTGGGGCATCTTATTGTTCTCTCTCTGGCATGTCTGGATGCCTACAGCTTCGTTCCTCACGGAGGCGGGGTGGGGTTGCTCCTCTCTGAGGCTGCCCTCTGTGCTGGGCCTGGGGCTGGGGTGTGGAATTGTTCCTGGCCACATGCTCCAGGATAGACGTTATCCTGTGGTGTCCAGCCTGAATGAGATATGTCCAGAGAGCAATGAGCTTCCCTTTCCAGGCCTTTTAGGGACAAGCCTGAATGGGAATGAAGAGGGTGAGGTGTGGAATTTGGGGAACAATTGCTGCTGAAATTAGCTCTAGGACAAGAGGAAAATGAGAGTGTGTTATTAGAGACTTGGCTCAGGATGGGCCACAAAAGGGACAAGCCACATGCTTGTGGGAGGCGGTGGGGCTGAGCAAACCTTCCCTCCCTGTGCACAACCCCGTGCGTCCTTCAAGTCATAAATCATGTCCCTTTTCCTCCACACGTTTCCCCCACAGTGACTCCAGCCTCCACTTACCCTTTGCTTCCTTGAGGTCTCTAGTTACAGCCTACACCACACATTGCAGCCTGCATACTACAGTTATTTCATCTGTAAATGCCTTGCCTCCCTGGCCAGACGAGAAACTTCTGGAAGGCTGCAGCCTTGGTTTGTGCTTTGCTGCTCCACAGCTCACAGCCTCACAGGGTGTTCTGCATGGTACAGGGACTCTTAGTAAAAACAGAGTTGTCTGAGCCACTCAGGAAAAGTTGGGGGTGGGAAACCTTAGCAATAAGCTGAAAATTAATTCCTAGAACACAGCATTAGTCAGAGGGCATCTTGGTGAGGAAGGGCCGAACTTGATGGGACTGCAATTGGTTTAGGAGTTGCAATGCTATGTTTAGATGTCAGCACCCTTGTTTCTCTGAGCTTGCATTTCATGTGATTTAACCAGGTGCTAAGCCGGGGAGGCTGTGATTCGGGTTCCGCTCACTGCACAAAGAAGTTACCCCCTCCTCGCTGCACTGCCCGGAGCTCCCGGTTTATGTCCAGCCTTTCAGGCATGATGCTGATTTTGTAACCCAGTACTGTACATTCCCGGCTGTTCAAGCTGCCCTCTTTTATAGCTTTATAAATCTAAGCCTCGGTTACAGTTTATTTATGATTCTGGATAAAGCTTTCCTTTAAGATGTGAGGGCCCTAATGATTACCATCTGTGATGAATTCCCGCGACGACCATTTAGAACTGGGATTTACTGTGCTATCTGTTCTGCCCTTCGTTCCTAGACACACTAAGTCAGACTGAGAGGCTCAAGAGATTCGCATCCTTTAAAGATGAAGGGAAACCCTCATCCTGGGGAAGGAGCTGCTGGTGCCTGGGGTCGAGTGCTCATCCGGCTTCAGATCTCCTCCAGAGCTGGCCACCAGGCTGGGCAAGAGGGGAGGCTAATCAATTAATCCAGAAGCTCAGGTACTTATTCTCTTCAATTGAAATAAGTCACTCTACTGTTTTCACCAGAGGCTGTTTTGTCCAGAGACAAAATCAGGAGCTCCCAGCCTTCTTCTGCCAATATCTCTTTTCATCATCCACGTTAGGATTCCCAGGGGTTTTCAAAAAGGTCTGAAAGCATCCACAGACTAAAAGATGGTCTCTCACATCTGTCCCCTGAAGATGGGATGAAAAAGGGCAGTGGCGGGGAGTGAGGTGGGGAGGAAGACCTGAGGTCAGCACTTCCAGCTGCCGCCAATGGTGTCTTGGCCAGAGCAGCAGAGGGACGGCAATGGGGTAGGGTAAAATGGTGATGGTGGAGGCAGAGAGTCCTCCTTCCTCTGGTCAGTAACACCCTAGGGGTACACCCATGGGTCACCTACTCCAGAGCATTGTGCTGAGGTTCATTATAGACTTTCCCCAACTCCCCACCACCTGGTCCTATAGAGCTGAGCACAAAAGCCCAGAGCCCTCATCAGGCAGCCAGAGGGGAGGGGGCAAGCTCCCAGCGTCTGCTCTGCCCCCAGTGTGGGACACCCCACAGTGTGATGTGAGGTGGGGGTATTCATACCGCCTGTCACTATAGGATTAGGAGGACTCCCTTAATCAATGTTACGAAGGCCTTGGAACAGTGCCTGGCGCACTGTGTTTAGTAAACGAAGCTGAATCTAATGCTGTCTCTGCAGGTGGGGATGCGCAGACACAATCAGACCCTGTCTGTGGTGGAAAGGCCAGTTGGAGGTGGTATCAGGTGTTCCAACTCCTAGTTTAGTGCCTTCTGAGCGAGTTGCAGACTACAGCTTCTATACTCCACACCTGGCTTCTATAATAAAATTGGTAAATAGGAAAAAATGTAGCAAAAATGTAGGGAAAAACAAAGCAGCCCCTAGAGCCTGCTCTCTCATGTCTGTCCTCTCCTCCTGTTGCCACTAAGCCCTGTGTATAGGACCTCCCACAGTGCACTGCACACACATTTGACTGATGATGAATTTACACGTACTTCTCTTCCTGAAAAAAGGTGCAGACTCGGCATCAACAAATCCCTGGGGTAATATACAGTAAGACCCACAGTCTTTGCAAGAGGGGTGTGGTTACAATAAGTTCTTAAAACCTGGAGTCAGAGGTGCCAGCACAAACACAGTAACATTTAGACCACATAATTGGCCTAAAGATCAGTTTACACAACATCGTTTTTTGCTTGCAAGAGGATAATAGAAAGGCCAGATGTTCTCAGTGTCATGTAGGCCAGCAAATCTGCACCAGTGTTTGGTTAAAAGGTTGCTAGGATGATTGGAACTCTCACTTCATAACACTAGTCTTGGTGACCCAGTTTTATTTTCTACAGTACTGGTTTTGTGTGGTTTGATTCAGATCCAAGATTTGGCTTTGACCTCAGTTTACCTCAGTGTCCTCATTTACAGGAATGAATGCCAATTATTTTCACACATTAGCAAACATTTCTCAGATTAAATTCTAAGAAGAAAATGCAACAATATCTCCAGCTAAATGAAGGCTTAGCACGATGCCAGCTGGCCTTCCTCCTAGGTTTGAAAGTGCCATTTTGATTTGGCTGTATCTCATGGTGGTGGGAGGACCATCTGAAATGTCCAGGTACATTAGTGTCTTTATTTATCATCAAAACTCTGTCAGTTAAGCATCATTATTTTCATTGTACAGAAAAAAACTAAAGTCTCACACCTATTTAAATAACTTGCTCAAGACGACACAGCCAGTAAGTGGCAGAGTGGGATTAAAACCTAGCTCTGCCTCAGGAACTCATCTTCTTCATACTGTATTCCTGAATATAGACTAAAAGTGCAAATGATTTCTTGAAAGACTTGTAGATAGCAACACACGGTGTAGGACTTGACCACAATCCAGCAGCTCTTGACACAGCTAAGCGATTCTTCCCGAACCTAAGTCTGGCCAATTCACTCTCCAGCTCAAAATTCTTCAGTGATTCCCCATCATCTTTAAAGTAAAAGCCAAACACCTCCACTGGCATACAGCCCTTTGGGATCTGGTCTGTGCTTATGTCTTTCAATTGATGTCTTACTCTTTCCTTGCAAGATGTCCAGCTTGGTCCACCCTATGCCCTCCACAAATATTTGTTCAATGAGGAATATAATTTGCCATGTGGCACTCTTCTCTAAATGTTTCCCATTGAAAACATTGCTCCTTAACTGGTTGGTGAGCACCTCCGAGGCAGCGGCAAGGGCTTCTCTTCTGGAGCCTAGAGTTGCTCTAAAGAGCTCAACATTCAAG